CCGGATCACCAACCGGAGCAAAAGTCCAATTAGAAAACTGAGCTACCCAGGTCTCCGTCCAAAAATAGGGATCGTACAATAACTTCGGTGGAGTATTAAGTTGTCGACACAGAGCTATAGCATGAGAGCATGGTTTCCTATGTGTCTGCCACTTCAGACAACGACAACGCCTCTCGTCGAACCAAACCTTACACCTGTTTTTCCACACATTGAATTATATTTATAAACAACTAAAAATTTTAGTGAACAAAATTAAAAAAATTAAAATTATAAAATAAATAAATAAATCACATACGTTTTGTCCCCTCTACCACTCGGCCGTAGACCCGTTGTCATATCGTATAGAGATCTCGCCGCGTTCGCACATCTCACCCTATGATTTGCGGCCGTACTCTCCAATTCGCAAAAAGCCGCATAGTGGGCACTAGCAATGACATTACTGCATCTCGTGGACTTCTTTTGTTCCTGCTCAAACAAGTCCAGAGTTTTCATGAATGTGGCGCGTACCAAAGCTCGGCAGGGCAAGAACCTAACACCTTTCAGGACGTTGTTGTAACTCTCGGACATATTGGTCGTCAATGTACCCCATCTACGTCCTCCCTCGTCTCCAAGCAGGGTCCACTTGTTCAGAGGAATTCCGAACAGGTAATTGTATGCATCCGGATTAAAATCCGAAAGACGCTCTCGTATCTGTTGAAATTTTCGCTCTAAAAGCTGTGAACCCAACTCCCAACACCAATTTCGGATTTTGCTATTCCTGTACCTAGTGACAACGTTGCTCCGAAGGTGTCGAAGACAGATGTGGTGATATGCAGCGGGTTCTTGCCAAGCCGCCAATGAATCCACGGCACTCTGTAAGCCACCATCCCTGTCTGAAAGAAAGCATATCTGTCTGTCGCCGACTACATGTTGCCGTAGATTGGTCAGGAAAAATGACCAGCTTTCCCTGCTCTCTTCATCCACAATCGCATATGCGATTGGCAATAACCGTTTATTTGCAGTTTGTGCAACGGCCATAAGCAACTTCCCCTTGTACGAGCCACGCAAATGCATGTCGTCCATGCTAATTACCGGCGGGCATCTCTGGAAGGTCTGAATGGCGTGACCAAAAGCCCAAAAAACAAATTTGAATTCTCTGTGCTCATAGTGGGCCGCCATATCCCCACCCTGCCATTTCCACTGTACAACTGTAGTGGGATTCGCTATTTGAAGCGCCGCAAAAAACCTACACGTTATAAAACATAATCGTCAATACATAAACATAGTGAGATAAAATAAATAATACGTGCATTTTAAATAAAATTTTTCTTACTGAGGGAGTTGTGCGAAGTTCTCTTCCTAAGTGCCATACAAACTGTCGATGGCTTTTTTCCTCCCGTGCCACGCCTTCTTGTAGCTCACATCGACTTTCCAACATTTTTTTACATCCTCCTGGATCAGGGTAACACTGTACTCCGGTTTCTTTTGAATATTGGTCATGATAAGATTGGAAATCATTGTGGCGGTTACATTTATGTGGTCATTTTTGTCGACTTCTTGCATACAACTATGCCTCTCGGTCCATTCCGTTACTTCCCACAGTTCATGAACCCGTGTGCAGTGCGTCACCCTAGCCTTCCACGGACAAGGCTGAGCTTCTTCGGATTTGCACACCACCTTGAATGATTTCTTATTCGAATATTTTGACCTAACCTCCCTCAATCTACTCACGTTCCAATTCATTATAGCAATCTGCGCTTCTTCCTTGGACCGGAAAACAGTACCCAAACGGATAGAATCGACATTTCCATTCCAACGAGGGAGAGCATGCTCATCTCGGTCTACACACGACAGGTCCCACTCACCCATCTCGCGATACACGTGTTGACCGGTACTAGAAAATGGGTGCTCTTCAATAAACTCTGGATCACTCTCCTCGCTTATTAATCTATCCGATTCCGTTTCCGATGTATCATCTGTGAAATCGTCTTAATCAGGAATGAAATCATCATCGGGATCTTCTCTGGCTGTTGAGCTTGTCCCTTCGCCAAAATTACGAACATGCGAAGTGGACGTACCTTCAAAATCAGGCACTCCCCCGTAAAAAGGGGGAACATCCTCAAACTGTGTAATCACTGTAGGTGCCTGCGTAACCTGCTTCAACTCTAAATGCAAATACACATAGGAGAAAGCAGAAAAATAATATATCCACTCAAAGGCACTATCGATATTCATGTTTCCGATATTCCACGAACCATCGGGTCGGTTTGTCAGTAAACTAATCCCCTCAATTGTCAAACCATTTCGACGGAAACCAAAATTTTCATAAAGTATATCTATAAATTGTTGAAATGATATCTTCTCCCCAATGCAAAATGAACCATTCGGACGGTTTATAAAATCTGAAAATGAATCTAAAACCTCTCTCGGATAATTCCAATACACATTAACAAAGTATGGTAGTCCGGCAGACGCCATTTATACCTGTTAAAAATAAAATCACGAATTCTTTTATCAAATCCTAATACTCATAATCCATCAATAACATATAATTCACTTTCAACCAAAAAACCCGTAAAAAAAAAAATCATTCTCAATCAAATAATCCCCTTATCGAACAATAACATATAAATCATCTATAATTTCGATAAATTGAAACCCTAATTTCAAAAAACCCTAACCACAACAACAACCAAACAATTACACAATTGACAATTAACACATAATATTTCAATCTCCAATTCAACATACACACATAATCATTAATCAATTGGCAATTTCAAGTTTCAAACACCAACATATTCAAACATATTATTACAATTATCAATCTCCAAATAACTCCAAATAAATATAAAAAGTTAAGACAAACCAATATACCTCGTGCGAATGAATTAACCGAAAATAAGGCTCGTGTCGCTGTTGTCGGTTCACGTTAGAGTGAAGATTGGATCGAGTTTCTTTTTTCTCTAAGTATTTTCGCTCTTCTCTTCTCAATGCTCTCAGCTCTCAGTTGCTCTCTGTGCTCGCGTAATGAATGGAGAAGAAATTTTTTTTTTTAATATATTTTACAAAAAACGTATTTAAGGAATACGTTCTCTGTGCATTGAAATGTAAAACGTATTCCTTAAATACGTTTTGCTTAAATGTATTTTTTAAAAAAAAATAATAATTTTTTTTAAGACGCATTTAGTAAATACGTTTTCTGAAAACGTATTACTCAAATACGGTTTTCATTTATTTATTTTTATTTAACGAAAATTATTTTGAAAATTTTTTACGATTTTTTTTAATTAAAATATTTAAATGAAAACGTATTCAAGGAATACGTTTTCTTAAATAATTATTTTTTGAAAAACGTATTCAAGGAATACGTGGTTTTTATGTTTGTCCACTCCCTTTTTTCTTTTTTTTTTTGTCCACTTAATTTCTATATTTTTTTTAAATAAATCACCCAACTAATATTACTTTTTCACGTTAATATGTGAACCAATTATTATGTTAACAAATTATAATTATTTTTCCTAATAATCTATATTTTACACACTTATAATAAAAAATAATAATTTTATCGTAAGATTTTCTTAATAAAAAAAAATGAATCTACATAAATTATATTATACAGAAGTTCTATAATGATTATATTAAAAAATTGGTAAGTTAATTTGAAAATATGAAATGAAAATATTATTTTTATTGACATAAAAATTGCTATGTCGTATTACTCTAAATTCATTTTGTTCTTTCTTGCAGTGTTCTATCATTTGCTCGGTCTCACAAGATTTTCTTCTGTGAAAAGAGGCCAAGAAGTACACCCAAACCCTAAGAAGGAAAAAAAAAAAGTCAAAGATGGACCGTATAACGTTTGTAGGATGAAA